CTTACTGTTGCACCCAACTATTTCGCAGTGCCAGATGTCGTCTTTGTAAACGGAGTTTTCGTAGGTTTTTTAAATGTGTATATTTTTTAGGGAGAGATATTTCTTGTCGTTGGCCGTTCGATGAGGGTCGTAATTTTAGGTGAACGTACGACCTGCATCCATTGTGCCAGCTTTTTGAACCTCCCACAGTGAAGCACGGAAGTGTGACACCAAACGCAACGCGATAACGTCAACCAAGACTAGACTGCGCGGCAGTCCGTCGGGAAAGGGCTCCTGGCTCCTGGTCGGTGTGACTCGGCTTGCGATGCTTTCCCCGGCGCTGCCCCGCTCGGTTCCCTGCCGTTGGGCAGCGGTGCAGCAGGCGACAATGATAAGGACCGTCGTTGTGTTGTGTGTGTCGCAGGCCGCTGCGCGCGCTCTCTCTGTGCGTCTGCCGAGCCGACGAGGGCGTCGAGGACGGCGTCGTGGAGTGGCGCATCATGGTGCCGCGGACAGAGCAGGGCCAGCCCTATGTCACCCTGGGCCCCGACGGCGTCCTGGAGCCCAGCCAGCGCGCCTTCGTCGTAGGTCAGTGAACTTTCCATTTGCTCTCGCTTCTTTTATTTTAACAATATAGAAAAGTAAATAAATAGTGTGCTTTTAATTGCGTTTTCAGCCGCAGTGCCGGAGCCCGCCTTTCTTCGGCGCGAGCCTTGCGAAGAGGTCGGCGGTCTGGTGAGCGCCTTGCTCCCTGATGGCCGTGGTGAGTGAGGGATATATACCAGCCCATTTTATACGACCTTTTAAGAAGCAATTGCCGGCTTAGTCAGGCGTTTCTATGGCTTATCGACATATGTCCAAAATAACCAAAGGACGGGCTGTTGTTCGCAGAGACCTGGACCGCGGTGCCGCCGTGGCGGCTGACGGTGGACGCGGTGTTGCGCGGCAAGCTAGTGCCGTTCCGAGGCCCCGCTACGACGACGCCGAACGAGGTTGACCCGGGCCTCGGCGACGTCCTGGCGAGCCTGGCGTGCTGCCCCGTCGATGTTCAGCTCCGTCTGGACGGCCGGACAGGGCTGTCGGACCGCGTGCGGCGGCTGCTGGACGACGTGGACCTGCGGCCGGCGAGGGGCGCCCCCGCCTCCCCCCAGGGCGCCGTCGGCATGCTCGTGGGCTCGGGGCCCCCGGAGGCGCCTCTGCACGGCGCGCTCGCGCTGCTGCTCGTCCGCTCCCCCGCCTCCTGCTCGCTGCGGCTCCATGTCAGGTAGCCCTGGAACCTGCCCCACCTGAGGGAGTTTTAATGAAATTAAAAGTGCGTAACGTCCCCGCTGGGAGCCCCAAACTCACGGCCCCCTCCCCGCAGGGACCGGCGCCACGTGTTCCTGCTCGTGCACAGGCTGCTCGCCGGGCTCCCGCAGCACACCAAGCTCACTGCCGCGGACGACGACCCCGCCGACCTGGACGTGCTGGCGCGGGCCCTGCTGCGCGCCCTGGAGGACGAGCTCGGCGCCTGGGCTGGCGGCGCCCCGGCCCGGCCGGCCCTGCACCCGCTCGAGCTGGCCACCGACTTGGCCGCACAGCGACTGCGCGTCGCCACCGCGTGAGGTGAGGTGAGTGGATGGCACAAGGAGGAAGAAAATTCCTCCGACTAAAGCGTTTTCTCGTCGCTGATGTCTTTGTAAAGCTAGGCGAAAGAAGGAAGCTATCGAATCGAAAAAAAACTCACTCCTTTTGACACGGAGGATTAGCGCCGCAAACGGCAGCAGCACGTACGTTTCGTTCTCTGATAAGGAACCTTGGTAGGCTATCCCAGGAAATCGGCCCCAGCCTCTGCTGTGGAGACTGTACCTTTCAGTCTCTCTTTGGGACGTGATCCGCCTATATATTGGAGACCCTTTGTCTCGGTCGACATTCGATTCGACTTGGAGCACACGGCTTAGCCGCGCTTAAAGCAGTCGAGTTCCGCGTCAGCGCCATGCACAGCTTCACCGTGTGAGTAGGGGCGGCGGGCGCGCGGTGTCACTACTTTGTCAAGGATCCTTACCATTTGGTTCGCAGTTTGTGGGTGCTGGTCCTCGCCATGCTGGCCGTCTCTGCCGCGGGGCCCAATACCCGCCGCCGACGGGACTTCGACGACTCCGACGCGGAGCTTGCGCCGGCGCGCAGTGAGTAGGGCTGTAAACGCTTCCCAGCGTGTGCTGTGTGCTTGGTGGCCGTCGTCACGCGGTAGGCTAGTTGGGCCGAGATGTTGGCGAGTCGCATTAAACTCAGAAACCGAATTTTAAAAATTCCAAATGGTGGAAATAGCAGTTTTATGAGGCGAGATTTTTTAAGGTAAAAGACCCGT